ACTAAGCTAAACATTTGATAATAAATTTATGTATTTAATGTGAAAAAGATTTCAAACATTTTCATGGTGATCAACTAAATTCCAAGATTTACAAGAAAGCAAACATTAACAACAGATTTTTATTTATCCAAAATAAACGAACACATATATGTATCCCTTTAAACATTATTTTTTAGTGGACACTTGTATTTGAGAAGGCACTATTTATTAAAAAGTATAAAAAAAAGTATTTATTTATTTTCACCTACTGGCTTGAATGTTCAAGAAATCTTATTAAAGAAAAATTTGCACCCTTCAGCAGGAATCCAACCTGCATCCACCAGGGCCGAGGGAGCCATCATTTAACCGAGTGCACCTTACTCTGTCTATATTTCTGAGATGAGGTATTATGTACACTATTTACATTATTTGGACTATTGTCCTCATCTTTGTTGCCATATTTATTACAACATTTCGGCCTCAAGGACACGTGGCACAGTGGATAAAGGCATTGGTTAGATCCAGTGACAGGACCCAAACAGTGCGAGTTCAATACCTGGTTAAGGCAGTGGAGAACTTGGAGAGGGGAATTAACAGGAGATAACTGATAACTGACATCCATTAAAAACATGGCACATGGAACTAGAACAGTCTACCCCAAGGAGTGAAATAAAGGGTTCAGTTTCACATTCCAACCACCTGAAGAAGGCCAGAGCATACAACGGCCAAAACATTGTAATAAATAAGGCGACAAAGATGAGGACAATAGTCCAAATAATGTAAATAGTGTGCACCTTACTCCTTGGCCATGAAAGGAACAGACAGTCAGGTGAAGCCAATTTAATGCTTTTAAGTAAAATTTATCCGGTCATGAAATTTTTCAAACATTCAGGCTAATAGATGAAAGTAAATAAATATACTATTTTAAACAGAGCACCTACTCGAATACAGGTATCCACTAAAAATAACATTTAAAGGGATATAAATCTGTCAAATTAATAAAAATTCATTCTAACTATCTAGGATTATTTATTCTAGATGTGTTTAGTGAGGAGATATTTTTTTCCTAAATATTGTGAAAATTGTTTAAAGTTTAATCTTGTAGTATTTTGCAGTTATTTTATTTAAAGGTGCAAGCAACATAAGCAGAGTTGCCTCTGGATACAACACTTAAGAAGCAATAGATGACAGTTGAATTTTCTGATTAGCTTGTTTCATGTACCGCTTCTGAATGAAGACTGACCACTGCAGAGTTCTGATAATGGTTGTAGTGAAATACCTGAACAAAGAATGTCAGGTAGAATACATGAAAATAAGTTGGATATTTAATTTTTTCTATTTTCTTCTCATTTACCACTCAACAAGCTTTATCAGAATAATTAAAAAAAAAAAAAAAAAAAAAATTTTATTTTTCAAATTAAACATTGTTTTTTAGTAGGAAGATTGTATTGGAAACAATTTTTTTCACTTGCTTTGATAATGTCTATTCAAAGAGTCAACAAGAAAAACAAAAAATGTTAACATAAAACTGGTTTTCACATTATTTCATCTTAGTGAAATATTTACATATATTGTATAAATTTATTGTACTTACATACAATTTTGGCACAAAGCCGAAAATGAAGTGGGGTGGTTGTCACTGACTACCCTAAATCTAGCTAATCTGATTCACAACTTATTCATTACAATTTACTCATTCACGACAAGAACACATCCCTTTTCATCTAATCCTACATTAATCAATACTATATACGTACTCACAGGGTAACCTACTAAAACCCCATGATATAAAAATTTACGGATATTTACAATTGTGATGTACTTGAAATAAGACACATGACTGACAGTATGAAAGAAATCAAGTTCCCCCAGTTGAAAAGGGATAGAAAACTAAGTTTGTGAACATTCTATTCATTGATGTTTAACCACTTACTTTTTTTTTTATCAGATCTCGTATTTTTAAGAAAAATGATCAGGATTGTTTCTATGGTAACACACCTAACCAAGAGTGAAGGTGCTTGGCAAAGATTTACCTTGAACCCTGTTGCACATACACATTAAGTTATAACATTCCTACTTCTATTGTTTATAGTGGTGCTTGGAAGGAAAGTGTGTAGAGTGTGGTTGTCTCATCACACAACAGAAGTTCCATCAGTGGCCATGGCTTGTGCAGCAGTTTTTGGCCAAGTGAAACATTCCCCAGGTCCAACAACCACCATATTCCCCAGGTCTCACCCACTGTGACTTTCCTATTTCCAAGATTTCAATATGTCAAAGAAATTCAAGAGAATGCAACAACAAAGTTGCTCACTATCCCAAAAAGTGAGTTCCAGAAATGATTTGATCAATGGAAACAGCACTGGATAAAACGTGTGGCTTCAGAAGGGGATTATCTCAAAGGAGATTAAATGTTGACTTGATATGTGTTGTACTTTTTTTTTTTATAGCACCAGTCTTGGTAAATTTTTGATCAGACCTAATAGAATTCATCTAAGATGTCCTCTACACCTCCAGCCATTTTCCTACAAGGTCTTTAGAAAAATTTCACAACCTTTCATTAAAGTTAATTTTTAAAAATTAATATTCATTTGATGAGATATGACAAGCTTAACTTTTATTTACAGTATTTTATTTTAGAATTCATTTTGTTTTTTTTAGAATGCTTTCTGGTTTGATAAATATTGTGTATTAGGGCTTTCAAACAATCATATCTTTAATATTATTATTTTGAGGACTGGTATATTAAAGTAAACCTCTTTTCATTTAGGTTAATAGTATTTGTACTGACAAAATAGCCTTGAAGATCACAAAATTAGCACCGAGATGAAAGTGGTATCCACTGATACAACACAATAGCTTTTAGGAAATAAATGATGTTTGTTTAATGGCATATTAACTTCTCAAGGGTCATTTAATGCCAAAATTTAATTTTCTTGGGATCTTGAGTAATTTTTTCTTTTTATAAAAATCTGTTGCTGGTAATTCTTTTATTTATTTTAAATCTTTACTTTGTTATTTGACCCCAGTTTGAGGTTTCACTATTTTCCTTAATAGGTGCTACCACCCCATGCCAGGGTGAACCTAAGAACAGCAGCAATTAAGAGGTGGTTCCACACTCCTCAGATCTCCTGATAAGAGGCCTTGCTGCCAGATGTAGTTTATTTTCATACTCAGGACAGAGGAAATAAATGAGGAAAAAAGGCTTGGAACAACAGATTGAAAGCAATAAGGACAGAGGCAAATTATGTATAATCTACCTTGAGAGTCTGAAAAAATGGATGGCTGTTGTGGCCTGTTAGGGGCCAGAAAGAAAGAAAGACACAGAAAGAAGGTAGGTTGAACAAGTGTATTGAAATAATAGAACATATATACAAAATAAAAGTATTATTAGTCAGCAGATAGAAGTGTCCGTCTGAACTGTCAGGTTACACTGTATCCCAACTGCCTCCTTTAGGAAGTCTTGCAGGTTAGTATTTATGAAGGAGGAAGAGTTCATTCTAATATAGAATAGGTCCCCACAACAATGGCAGAACAAAGTTTATGAGAAATAACAAAACAAAATTTATTAAGAGCTACAAAAGACAGGAAATTGTGGAGAGCCATGATAGTCTCTACACCCTGAAGAGGCACAACACAAAGATGACACACCATTTTAAGACTAAATTTAAAGTACTTTTCACCCATAGAAAACATACAAAATGCTACTTATAACTGACAGTTTTCTGTCATTCCAAATTATATAAAAGGTAAGGTAGGTACGCAATAACTCTCCAGGCCTTACAATCTGTATTAGTAAGCAACTGATCCATGGCTGGTACCTTACATTATACATTCTTTTTCAGATTTTTTTCAAGCATCATTTGAACCCATAAAAGAAGAAAAGGAATAAGTAGACCATGGGAAGTTATGACATAAAAATAGGGGATCAAGTGTTGCATGAAAACAGAAACCTCAGATAAGTAACAGCTGGAGCTGAGATACCTTTTCCTCAGTATGTTCAAAACAAAAGGGAGGAAATGACTTTATTAAAATGCATCAAGTTTTAACTTAGTAAACAAGAGGTCATATGAGAAAGTAATACACTTTCAGATTGCAGCACTAAAAAATCTATTTTGGCTTATCACCGAAAGAAATAAAGATGCTCCTCTTTCAGTGTCTTGCATGATCAACATTTAGCCTGATCAGTACCTAGATGGGTGACTGCTTGGGAATACCTGGTGTTGTAAGCTGGGATGTGTGGGTGGTGTAATGGATATTGGCTTGGAATTGGAGAGCAGAATCCCAATTCCAGTCAGGTTTATTGTATTCACTTACATGCAAATCTCCTTGATAAAAGTATGAACCCACTTCTTCCCCTAGCTATGGGTTAATTAATAAGACTTATCACTAAATCATTATCTAAAAAAAAAAAAAAAAAAAAAAAACAACAATCTAAAAATATTTTCTGGTTTTAAATACTCCTCAAAGAGTTGATAATCTGTAGAAAATGAATTGATCAATCTTTCAGTGTACCAAATAGCCTTCATTGAAACCCCTTAGGTAAAGAAAACAGATGTAAATCCAAAATTATCCCTACATGTGCCTGAGCACACAAGTTTTAACTCAACCAATGTTGAGCAGTTCTTCACTAAATTTAGTGAAATCATTGTACACTAAGTTTCAAGCAGCTGATATATGGAACTGTAATAGAACTAACGTAACTGTTCATAAATGAGAAGTGTAATGACAAAAAGTCAAATAAGTTGGAGGCCTTATTGACTTGTTTTTATGGTTTATCAACCCTTTGCAGGTTATTTAAAGTAAGAAATTATTTTTAGATTGTAAGAATTTTTTTTTTGACTTAATGATTTAGCGATACAAGTCTTATTAATTAACCCATAGCTGGGGAAGAAGAGGTGGGTTCATACTTTTATCAAGGGGATTTGCATGTAAGTAAATATAACGAACCTGACTGGAATTGGAACTCTGCTCTCCAATTTTCAATTCAAGCCAATATTCATTACACCACTCATACATCCAAGCTTACAGCATCTGGTATTCCCAAGCAGTCACTCATCTAGGTACTGACCAGGTTCAATGTTGCTTAACTTCAGTGATCATATGGGAACCGGTGTTTCAACGTGATATAGCCGTAATTGATTTCAATGTGTTATTGCTTTTGGGAATGGTCAATTAATAATATGATATGCTATTGTTTGTGCCATAGGGACTCCCCCCAACTGCTCATCTTTTCCAGAAAATTTTTGAAAGGCGCACATTATACAAAATGGGCAAGTTAGCTGTCTGGAGAAATGACAAAAAAGAAAAAAAAAAAAAAAACACTGAAAATTTAAGTTTTTGTAAAGCATGTGCATAGCATAAAAGAAAAGTCAGTTATCATCCAACTTGACACCTACATCACACTTCCTATGTGCTGCATTCATTCAGGACATGAGTGATCGTGGTTCTCCACAACTTTCTCTCCTTAACTCTTAGCAATATTTGTCTATTATCCTTGCTCACTCCCTGTTCTGTCATTCATTTAAACAAATTTATTAGGTAGATTACTCACTGGTTTCCTTTGTCCCTCTTACGTTCAGTAAATCTTGTGAGTGTCAAATTTTTCAGGCCTTCTTTTCTTAGTATGTGTCCCAGAAACTTCAAGTGCCTCTTTCAGATTTTCCATATAATTGCTTTTTTTTTTACTTCCATTTTCCTTAAAACTTTCTTGTTCTTACATGTTCAGTTTGTGGTATTCTCATCACCCTTCCATCAAATCACATCTTTTGCCTCAATTCTTTGGCATTCACTGTCATATAGGAGGATTGATATTACGTAGCAGTTCAGTAATCTTTTCTTAGTTTCTAATGATATTTTTATATTTTGTAATACTTTGCTTAGTTTTCAGAAGGCATCTTTCACTATCCCAATGTGCCTTCAGATTTCATTGTTACAGATATTGAAATTTTTAATGTCCATGGTAACTATAAAAAGAAAAATATATTCTTTCCTGTTTGATTTTAACTTGCCCAATTTTATTTCAATTACTTTATAAAATATGGTTAGAAGCTCCAGAATATTTCTGGAGATGGCTACACGTTTCCTGCATGCAGTGATGGCTACACGTTTCTTGCATGCAGTGATGGAATCACTTATCACAGGGTGTCAGCTTTTCTCATGAACAACTGACAAATTGTGCAATGAAATCTTAGACAACCATCAATTCTATCAAGCCTTTTCTATGGAAGGAAGTAACATTTTCACTCAGCTGAAAATATTCAGTTACAACACGGACATTACAGACATAATTTTCAATGCTTTGTGCAGTGCTAGGTCATTGACTGCAACCTTGTGTCAGCTTCACATTATGTGTGCAATCTGATATTACTTAGATGGGTGGGGCGGTACCAAAACCCAAACTGTTATGACATTTAGCGCCATGGTGGTGTTCATTAAAATTTTGAAATATTTTGGTACATATGTACTAAAATACTTTTAAAATTTTCCACATTTTTAATCTTTACTGTTTTTCAATTAAAATAAAAGGAAATAAATTCACAAAAATATCAAATTTCCAGACAGGCTGGTGGCATCATGAAATTTCTTCAAAAGTGTTCATGAGGTCTTGGATTTTAGTTCTGCCACCCTTCTGATGATTTCTATATGAAACATTTCATTGTATTGGTTGGAATAGACATTATGTCATTAACAGTTATGTTATGGAGGATCATGATCATTGCCAGATGGTAAAATAGTGCACAGAGGCTTTTGTTTACAAAGCAGCAGAGTAACAGTTAAGACCAAGGAGGCAATGTTTGGTCAAAGTGTGATACTTTGGACACACACGTAGAAAGGAAAGAGGTGGTTTTATCTCTATCTCAAATGTTTCTGTTTGATGGACCACAAGATGGTTCCTTTTGAAATTTGGTCCTCTAAGCAACATCCACTTTGGCTAAAGGGCAATGAGGAGTAAAGGAGTAGATTAGGGATTTTTGGAGATCAAGTGGCAACAGAAACAGAAATAGGGTATATCCAGGTGCTGGTCTATATTAACATACATGCTTGGGATGATAGAGAGTTCTGGTCAGCCCTTGGTGGGAGAAGGATGTGTCTGTAGTGTGGTTCCTGAAATTTTGTACCTATGTGATATAGTGGAGACTCATGTAGAAGGGTAAGAAGAGATTTTATCTTGATCTCAAATGTTTCTGTTTGATGGTCCTTTTGAAGTTCGTTCTTCTAAGTGGTATCTACTTTGACAGAAAGGTAATGCAGAAGTAAAGGGGGTGTACGAGGGATTTTCAGATTTTAAGTGGTAACAAAACTAGAAATAGGGTATACCTGAGTGTAGGTCAGTATGAACAGTTGCTTGGAATTAGGAAGTATTCTGGTCCACATTTGGTGGAAGATAGATGTCCATTGATTGATTCTGAAGCCTCCATTTCGTATTGCAACCCACCATGTCAGGATGAGCGGATGGGCAAGGAGTTGGTAGGTGGAAGAGCTGACATAGAAGTTGTCCCAAGTGCCACCTACCTATCCACTCGGATGAACACACAAAGTCCTGAATAAAGACACCTACAGTTATCTGTCTATATTTCTGAGATGAGATATTATGTACACTATTCGGACTATTGTCCTCATCTTTGTTGCCATGTTTATCACAACGTTTCAGCCTTTCCTCCTTCAGGTGGTTGGAATGTCGAACTGAACCCTTTATTTTGCTCACTGGGGTAGACTGTTCTAGTTCCATGTGCTATGTCTAATGGATGTCCGTTATCTCCTGTTAATTCCCCTCTGAAAGTTCTCCACTGCCTTAACCAGGTATTAAACTCACCCTCTTAGTTAGATCCAGTGATAGGACCCAAAGAGTGAGTTCAATACCTAGTTAAGGCAGTGGAGAACTTTCAGAGGGGAATTAACAGGAGATAACTGACATCCATTAGACATGACATGTGGAACTAGAACAGTCTACCCCAGTGAGTGAAATAATTGTTCAGTTTGACATTCCAACCACCTGAAGAAGGCCGGAGCATACAACGGCTGAAACGTTGTGATAAACATGGCAACAAAGATGGGGACAAACATCATGGAAATAACATTGCCATTTTTGTAATGTTAATGAATACTTGTTGTCACTTTCGTAATGCTCATTTTAGTAGAGACTCTGTAATTGCAGATACAACTATAGTAACACCATTGAACAATATTTGTGTCAGGTGCCTTCTAATAACACTCGCATTAATAGTACTTGATCAAAAAGTAACCACTGAATAGTGATCCAAATAATAATCCATATAGTGATCACTTAGATGCCCACTAATTCCCATATATACATTTCCTTTACCATCACATTATCTACTTATTCAAAATGGGATTGCCTGTGTTTGCTCTCTGGTGATCTGTGTTCAAACTCTAGTGTCGGCAGCGACACTATTCCTACATAACAGACACACAGTTGCTTGTGATGTCAGATCAACAGTGGTCTTTTTTACTGCCAACTGTGAAAAAGTTTTTTAAAAAAAAAATTAAAGAAATATGGAACACCAGCAGTGCAATAATAAAGAAATTGGTATTTATGATTAAAAAAATAAATTCTTCTTTAACCTTATATGACCAATAATTAAAAAAAAAAAAAAAATTGTTTTATGCTATATGTTTTTATGAACTTTAGAATAATGTTTATTTTTTATACTACATTAAAGCATAAAGAAATGAATTAAAAATTAGTTAAAAATAATACTTCTGAGTTTAATTCATTGTTTATTTTTTTTAATTATTTTCTGATCTGTTTGATGTTATAAAATATTTAATAGCACCCAAAGGCATTTTTATAATTATTCTGATTATAAAATTTATTGAACTAAAAAGAAGTGTTAAAAATGTGTGTGTAGTGACAGACAGAATTCAATACTGACAAAGATATTAATCCCCCAAGAGGGAAGTGATTCAGAACTTTTTTCCTATTTGAACATCCATAAAAAAATAACCTGCTAACAATTGTGAAAATAAAAGAAAATTCTTTTAAAAATATTTCTGATGTGAAAATAATGGTAGAAACTTTACATTTGTTTTATTCTTCAAACACATTTATTTAATAAAACAGATCTCTGTTGTTGTTATCAACAATCAAAAAATTTTAAAGTGTCACTGAAAATTTACAAGTAAATTTTTCAAAAATAAATATTGTAGATTTTTCCCCCTGTCAAATCTGAAAGAAAATGCAAGCACTCAACAAAAATTGTTTTGAATTTTATAGAATTATTTTTGTAAGGTTTCAGGGCAAATTTAAGATTTTCTTATTTTTAACATTGCCAACAGTTTTTTTTTTAATAAAAAAATTTTTTCAGGGACTTTATAAAACTAGAAAAATATTCCTGCTGTCGAAATGGGGGTAACTGAACTCCACCCCCCACATTTCTACTAGTTTTACTTTTCAGTATATAATTAAAAATTCATTTATTAATGAATAAATGCTGAAAATTTCAACTATAATAGTTCTTGATTTTCGGTAAATTTTTAGAAACAGAGAATAATAGCATTTTCTTTTACTTTCATTTCGAATAAAGCACATCAGCGGTTTGTTTTTCAGCGTTTACCTTTAAAACTTTTCAATTTCCTCTACAAACCAAAAAAGAAAACATATATGAAGCTGTCAGGAAACCTTATTAAACAATTTTGATTTTTTTTTCTTTAGTTAGTTGGAAATTGTGAAGAGCCATGATCGCCCACGTCCTGAAGAGACACGGTACATCAAAGAAGAAGTAAGCTCATCTCACAGACGTACTGCATACAGAGTTCGATCTGATTTAACATTCGTGCTAGACAAAGCTGTTTTCAATTCTATTTTTTATTCATCTGATTGGTTTCCACTTAGAAAAAAAAAAAAATGCGTAAGAACAGGCACAACAGGAATCTTAAAATTTTAAGCAGGCAGAAAATTTACATTCGTAAAATATGAATTATTTAAGCTTAGAAGAAAAAAAAAAAAAAAAAAAAAAAAAAAGACAGGGAAGACAGAAGAAATAAAAAGACGGATGAAGAAAAAAAAAAAGACAGGGAAGAGAGGAGAAAAAAAAAAGACAGGGAAGAGAGGAGAAAAAAAAAAGACAGGGAAGAGAGGAGAAAAAAAAAACAGGGAAGAGAGGAAAAAAAAAA